GAGGGGGAGTCCCCCTCCCTACGACCACGTGTCAGGGGCGGAAAATGGCCGCGGGGCACATGTCAGGGGCGGAAAAATGGCCGTGGACCGTGTCACGGGAGGGAAAATGGCAGCGTATCCTGTTCGTACCCCGAGGCGGAGTTTGCAAACCGAAGCAAAATTTTGCAGCCGGAGCTGGACGTAACCCGAAAAGTTCGTTAACAGAAGCGTTCGTAACCCGAGGTTCCACTGTATACTGTATTATATATGGCTCCTATCATAATTCCCTTTTCTCCCTCCAAATAATCATGAAATAATGACTAAATAAAAAGTCATAGCTCCAATCTCAATCTAATACTTACTAATTGCCAATCATTACATACATGTTAATTTAGATAATATACTTACTCTTTGAAGAGTGCTTTCCAATCTTGATATTTCCTGTTCCAACTTTAATTTATCTAAAGTATATTCCTCCTGCTGGATCTAACAAAACAAAGTAGCCAGATTCATTTATGAGCCATTTCATTAATAATATTAAAATATCCCTGATTATCCTAACTACATTTTGGAATAAGAAACCAATGTTACACTGTCTTTAAACCTTAATGATTTCCCTCACATGCAGAATTCTTTTTATTAGGATAATTTTATTAATGTGACAGATGCATTCCTATTTTAATATTTTTATTATATTAAACTAAATTAAAAAAAGAAAAATACATACAACTGTATTAACAAGATAATGTAATCTTAAAATTAACAATCATAGTAATAAAAATTATAAGAGCTGGGAAAAAGAACTACCCCAAACAATTTGAATACATTGCTGAAAAGTATTCTCCCTTACCCTTTTATTGAAAAAAAAAATCAAAAGTTGACAAACAATATATTGAATACCAACAATCAATTACTGCAGTTCAGGTATAGCTTCCTCCTTCCACCGTTGCACAATAATTTTTAACAAAGCTCCAAACACAAAAATATTACATCATAAAATGTTGGCCATTTTGAAAGCATGTGCTAAATTAGCATTTCTACTGTATTCATTATTAGTTTTATTAGTAATGTTCTTAGCAGTATGAATATAAAAGAATATCCTAAATGCACCTATTTTGGAGTCTTTATGATGTATCAGTGATCATTTTAAGTGTTAAAACACCCAGGGACAGCTACTTTAAATAAGAAACTAGACCAAAATTATTTCATTACTGAAAACTACAGAAAATATTTATTAAAAGCTGACCTTTAATTTCTCCCTTAGCCCTTCTTTATCTGACACTACTCTTCTGAAATCAGCCAATGCAGTATTTCTTTCTTCTTCTGCATGACTTTTAGTTAGAAAACAAGTTTTTTTCTCTCTCCGTAGATGGTTTAATTCATCCTGAGACTAAAAATACAAAATTAATAGTTTTTGAAGTGATCAGTAAATACATGTATTTTTATTTATTTTAATAAATAAATTTTTATGTTTTTATTGCAATTTTTAAAAGACAAACACAAAAAGAACAGCATACAAAAACAAATTAAAAGGAAACAATACCCAGCATATTAATTATGAAATGTGTAATGCCAATGAACAAAAAGAGATAAAAATAGAAAACTAATTAGAAAAACTAAAAAATTAACATATTGTGATAGTTATTTAATAATGTAATAACAACTTATCAAACTGAGAAAAATGTTACTATTTATATAAAATATTGCAAAATGTATCCCAAAGAGAAATGTATTGTATCATTTTTTGATTAGTAGAAAAAGTAGCCTTTTTCAAAAATGGATTCATTTCTTGAATTCAGTCTTTGATATCTGAAGTAACAGTACTTTCAATCTCTCAGTATAATTGAGAGGGGGAGATGGGCGGCATACAAATGTAATAAATAAATAAATAAAAATACTTGTCTTGGCTATTCCCCATGTAAGATATAACCAATATTGTTCAAAAACTCAGATTCCACAATTTTGGAATATTATTCAAAATAACATTGACATTTTTAACTAAAAACATTTACACAGACGTATACTTATATACATTACACAGTCTTCCAAAAAGAAATTGGGTATGACCAAATCGTATCAGCTAAGTGTACCTTCGAATTTTTTACCAAATTGCCAAATTTCGAATTGCCAAAAAAGAAAATCATATTCCTGCATATAACATTATGAAGTAATTGATTTAAAGTAACTATTCCAGACTGTCTTTCTACCTATTTTTAAAGTTTTTCTGCAAAGTTAAACATTCATGAGACTTAGCATCAAAACTCAATCTATGTCTCAGTAAACACCAAATATGTCCAGCTGCATCTAACCCAGGAAATTAATAATAATTTATTAAACTTATATACCGCCTGACTCCCAATGACTTTGGGCAGCTCACAACAATCAATATGTTCATCAAGTAATTACCAGGATCTTAACGGAGATACATAATAAGTAAAGGTATTTTTTATGTGTGTACTTGTCTGCATGCATTCATGAACTGAAAAACATGGGAGTATGCAGGGTGGAATCTCAGGTTATACCTATTCCATTCATAGATAGCAAAACACCTGTCATGGAGTAAATAATTATCCAATAATAATATATTATGCAACTATTTTGTTCTGTATTTACATTTTTTTTTCATTCTAAATTGGAGTTTGCAATAGTTCAATAAGTCTAGGTTGCTTCTGATGAAGCTGCAGATTTTCATTACATTATGTAAGTTTTATACTGACAAATACTGAGCCTCTCTGGATCAAGCATATATTATTTACCTGTTCATAAAGAACACTTAATTTGTCTTTTTCTACAGTTAACAGTTTAACATTAGACTGAATTTCTATCATATGCTTTTCAAATCTGTCTAGCATAGACTGTAGCTCATCTCTCTCTCGTGTAACTAATCTAAGATCTTCACTCTGCAAAATAAAGGGAAAAAAAAGGAAAAAGTAAGAATATGCTATATACATACACATAATATATATTCCCCCGTATCATTAAACAGCTATTACAGGTCAATAAAACAGGTATTACCAGTGTCAGGATTGCAATCCAAACACAAGTATCATTCTGTGCTATGTAAGTCATGGTTTATGTACCTAGGAATCAGTATTCATACAAAACTGCCCCTGGCTTATATTGTTAACATTCCCCATGACTGGAAAATTCTGGTTTTATGTCAGTTATCTAGCCAGGATCTCAACAAACACAATACTAAAACTCTGTTGAATACATTTTGGTAAACCTTCAGCTCACGGGTCCATTTCTTCTCCTCCAGCAGGGCCATGAGTCATCCAAAATCAAATCATTTTAATTATGGTTTAGTCAAAACAAGCCAATTTCTAACCATTTGCTGCCCAGATTCAAATGTAAACTGCAATTAACCTAAAAGAGTTCCCATCTTCTCCTGTGTCCATATTAGAGAGGAAAAAATACATGGACCTGGTGTTCACATAGCTTTGTTATTAGAAAAAAGATTTAGCAGTGCATCAGTGTTTTTACAAATAATAAATGCTTTTCTATAATAAAATTATAGTAACATTTTATATTTTGCATTTCAGGCACCACTGCTTATTGAATCCTTTTAAAAGTTTCATATAAAATATGTCAATAAAAACAGATAAATTAGCTAATTTCTAACACAATTACCTGAAAGAGATTTATCATACTTATTAAGAAGGAAACATCATTGAATTCAATAAAACTGGGCTTCAGAGTAAGCTTCAGAGTATTTTTGGCACTAACGATGTTACACTGCCTCATATTTAACCTCATCTGGAGAAAACAGATTTGATCCTGTGGTTCCTGAGGAAGTGGACAGGATCCTCCGGACTGTAAAGGCCACGACTTGTCATCTGGACCCATGCCCCTCCTGGCTGGTGAAAGCAGCTCGGGAGGTGACATGTGTTTGGATCCAGGCGATGGTTAAGGCATCCTTGCAGGAGGGAGTGTTTCCAGTGCCCTTTAAAGAGGCGTTCGTGCACCCCCTCCTCAAAAAGCCCTCCCTGGATCCTACTGTACTGGACAACTTTCGTCCAGTCTCCCACCTCCCCTTCTTGGGGAAGGTGGTTGAGAAAGTGGTGGATTCGCAGCTCCAAAGGGTCCTGGAGGAAAGGGATTATCTGGACCCTTATCAGTCAGGTTTCAGGCCCAGCTATGGAACGG